GCATTTTCCCAGAATTAACATGCTATGCATGTCCACTACATGCCTTCAAGGCAGATGAATATACAATGGTTACCTTTCTCTTCCATGCTTCTGTAGTGAATCAGACATCATTTTCTACAGTATGTGAGAAAAACTACAATGGTAAATAAGGAGCAAGGAACAATGGCATACGTTGGACCTAGAGAGTCCCCTGGAACTCACCAGAAATGAGAGTCAGGAGAGTTTCTTTGGAAATAGCCTCAAGATTAGGTAAATTCCAGGAGCTAAAGTACACTGACATACTCTTTCCAGCATGAGCCAAAGCCGAGAGCATCATGCCATTCACTGGATTTTAGTGGGCAATTCTAGCACTCCAAACTCACTTTAAGGCTGCAGATAGAGCCAAGTCTTAATTGCATGTTCTTGGAGGAAGCTAGGATGTTATTATAAAGGTTACTAAATAAACCAGAGCCTTAAAAAGAGATCACTGGCTGTTCACTGCTTCACAAGATGTGCTAGCTGAGCTTCGGGTAGCTCTCGTTACCGGGTACTTCTGAGCAGGGATGACTCCTGTGCTCCCTAACAGGAGACTAACTGCATGAACTCGAGCAGGTGAAGAAAGCCCATAGACAGTGTGGCTTTTCTAAGTGCCTTTTGTTACACTCGAATTCATTTGAAAACCTACAGTAAGAGACGAGGTACAAAATGTGTGTTCATGTTCTGCTTGGACAGAATATGGCTCCTAGCAATTAATGCTTTCAGTCACATTAAGCATTAAATAATGCCTTGTGACATTACAGTATTGCCCATTACAAATCAATTTTGTAGTGTTTGTTCATAATAAGACTTGAAATGTTACCTAGAAACAAAATATGTTTTCCTTGAAACAGTCAGACCTTATTAGAAATCCAGGGTTTTACAAATCACCATGTTAACAGTTATGTCCCCTGGCTAAGGTTTTCTTTCTTTAAATAGTGTTAAATTCAGCCTCAGACGCTCCAGTCTCTGAGTATTAGTCTTCTTGTGTGCACTGGCTTGAAAGGAAAAACTTAATGCTCCAAATGCACCTAGTGTCCTACTATGCACAACCTAATAAATCAGCCAGGATTCCATTTGCAGGGAAAAATAATAAGCGCTTTGTAAAACTGCTATGACTGGATCTGGCTGCACAATGTTATGTTGTCATTTTGCTAAAGTTGGGGTTTCTAACCCTTGAAAAAAGGGAAAAGGCATCAACTATTGAATGTGATGATATGTAGCACTTTAGGAGAGTAAGGCAAGCAGATCACAAACTGAATTCAGGGTCAGCCTGGGCAGCATAGTGAGGCATGGTTTTAAAGAAAGCAAAGGAGGGAAGGAGGAGAAAAAGGAAAAGTAGCAGGAAGGGAAGATGGAAGGGAGGGAGAGAAGAAGGGAAAGGAAGGGGAAGGTGTGTTTGATAGTTTTATGTCAACTTGTCATTTGGGAAGAAAGAAGGAATCTGAGAAAATGCCCCAACAGACAGGCCTGTGGCATCGTGTTGACTGATGATTGGTGTGGGAGGGCCCATCTCACAGTGCACCAAACATGGCTGGGCTGTGGTCCTGAGTGCTTTAATTGCAGGCTGAGTAAGTCATGTGAACCAAGCCAGTCAGCAGCATCCTCCACGGAAATAAACCCTTTCCTCTCCAAATGGCTTGTGGTTATTGTGTTTTGTTACAGCAATAGAAGCCCTACGGCAGAAGGAAAGGAAGAAAAGAGGGAGGGAACAAGAGAGAGAAGGGAGGGCAGAGGAAGGAAGTGAGTCAGCGGGAAAAATGGCCTATTTCTAGTTCAGAAGAGTTAGAAGCTTCTAGCCACACAATCATACACCAATGGGAGCAAAGACGTAGAAAATACACGAGAACCAGAGACTTAGTGCAGTACAACTGGATGCTAAATTGTTGAGATTTTTGGCAATGAGACTTTAATTTAGGTCTTGACAATGTCTGGTATGCACACTCCATTATTTCAGGAACAATAAGCCAGACTCCTGTCCTTAGTGTGCTTCATGTATGCTTGGTGGGACTGTGCAAGCAAGGTAATATCTAATGGTTCAGTAACTAGGGTGCCCTCACCCCCAACCCCTAGAGCCTATGTATGTGACCTTATATGGAAGAATCTCAAGATGACCCAAAGAGAGGTCCTTGTAAAGGACATATCACTGAGAAAGATGGCCAGAAAGAGAGAGGAAGTCTGCTTGAAGACAGGGGCAGTGACACAATACAGCAATAAGCTACATAACCTCAAGTCACTGAAGCTGTAAGAAATGCGGAGTCTGCACTGAGCCTTTGGAAGGCACTTTGTATGTGTGTGCATGCATGAATGCATGTGGTAGTCACAGGACAACCTCCACTGCAACTCCTTAGGCACTGTGCACCTGTATTTTGAGACAGGATCTCTCACTTGCCTGGAACTCACCAAGTAGACTATGCCAGCTGCCGGCAAGCCCAGGGCTTCCTAACATTGAGGTGAAGAGCACGTGCCAGCCTGCATCCAAAAACATCAACACCAACATGGGAACCTGATGGGAGATGTCATTCTGCAAATATGTTTCTCTTATTGGTTAATGAATAAAGCCCTGTTGGCCAATAGGAAAGCAAGATAGGTGGGACTTGGAGACAAGGAGAATTCAAGGGGAGGTAGGACGAATTTAAAGCTGTAGCCATACATAGACAGATGAACATCATCAGGTTCCTGGTCCCAAGGATGCCTCCAGATGCTCTTCTGTCCCTGTGCTGCAAGCAAGAGAGTGAGCTCCGGACCCTTTTCCCAGACCTAGTTCCCCCAGGTAATGTCCACCCCTGTCCCCTCCCCAATGGGAGTGGTCAGTGCCTCAGGTGCAGACAAAGTGAATATCTCACTACAGGATCCAGGATGAACTCAGGGGAAAGCACTACCAACTGGGTCAACTCTACTTGTCTGCTGACACTTCTACCTCTGACTCTGGCTTCCAGCACCACGAAAGTTAAGTTTCGATCCTAGTAACCCACCCGTCTAGGTAATCTGGACCACAGAAAGCACATATAAAATTGTAATATACACCAAGACAATGAAACAGCAGGACATGACAGGGAGTCAGTTGGGGCTTTTAAATGTGGAGTCTGAAAGGCCTCATTTGAGGGGGAACCATGCTTGTTACCCAGGAATGTGGGAGACAGGGGCAGGGTACGTGTCTTGAATCTGAGGAGGCAATAGGTGCAAAAGGCCTGACCTGAGAAGCCTCAGAGCCAAACATCCTCCATCTTCGTGAGATCAGCTATGCCTACTTGGGAAAGGTCACTTCCTGGAAGGCGGAGGGGGTCAGTGGGCCCTCACTGGAGTATGCAGCAGCTCTTCCCAGTCACTTATATACAACTGTGCCCTAACTTAACTGAAATGTGGCCTTGCAGTTTGGGTCTTCGTGGCTGTGAGTAAGCTCTGTAGTTCATGCTGGGTAAAGATTCTGCAGCATGGCTCTTCTTGCCAGTAACCCCTCATCCATGCTCTGTATGCAAACCCAGTAGGCTCTTTGCTTCCCCACGGAGAACTCTGGTGGAAGTGCACTTTAGTTTCTCATTAGGACCTTGTTCATCTCGCCCAGGGAGGGGATCTTAGCAACACTTAAATATGCTTTAGGACAGCGAAGCCAGCATGGAGTGAAGGGTGGGAAAATGTGGGGGAAAAGGAGTAAATGGACAGTGCTCGGAGGGAGGCGATTGGATCCTGTCAGGCAAGCCTCACGGGTGATGATGAGAGGTCAGAACGATCCTACTGTGAAAATGACATCGAGTCCCCTGACTGCAGAGAATGACGAGAATCAAACAGTGATGAAATCAGCAACTACAGATAAAGCTGAACTTGCTGATAACCTAATCCATGCCAATCTGACCTGTGGACTCCTATTACTGTCTAATACAAGAGGAACAATGAAACCACACTTTCTATGACGTCAAACACCACAAGACACATGGGACAATTCTCAAGGATATCCTTTATTCCAATTCACCTCCTGTTCAATACCTGAGGTGGAATTTCATCTGTAAATTGTTACTCCAGCTAATTTGGTCAATGGCTTAGATTATCACCACGTCCTGTTTCCTTGGCATAAGCTGTGCTGGAAGCAGGCTCAGAGACTCAGGACTCGACAAGCAATAAATGCCACTATATCTGGATTCCCTTGAACTCCACAGCCTCTCACCTAGGAAAGAACTGTATTTCTATTCACTATTTTAAACACCAGACCCGCTCATTAACATGAAAAAAATTTCTCAAGTATAGTTAATGGGTTGACCATGGTCATACAGTTTTTCAAATACCTGGCATTTATCTCTAAATTTCCTATCATGTTCACATTATCTTTTTTGATTGCTTTTTAGTAACAAAAACAAAAACAAACCAAAGATGTGGGATTATTGTGCACATTAGCAGGCCCATATAGGAAAAAAAAAAAAAAACAAAACAACAAAAACAAAACAAAACAAAACAAAAAAAAAAACAAACACACACACACACACACACGTTTATATACCATTTACAGTAACAGTTCAAAATATAAAGCATTTGAAATACCATGCCTGCTCCAAGGTTAGCCGACCTAGGACAATACAACGTTTATTTCTTCAGACTGTTCCTTCACCACTGCATACTGCTGGCAACGATAAACCCCAAATCTAATAGTTCCAATACGGATCAGTCACTCTGCACAGTGTGCCCCCACCTCAGCAAAGAAGCCTTTCAGTTCCTTCCCGTTCCTTTAAAAAGTGGGGGGAGGTCGGACTAGAAAGCCAAGTTGTAGCAATGTTTCCCCTCAGAGAATTGCAATTGCCAAGATTTTAATGTGCTTCAGGGGAAATATTACTGGAATAAACAGCAATGGCTATTCTCCAGTAAATATGGAATGAAAGCTAACTTTTACCCCAATCTGAGGTATAATCTCATTGTTTAGGGGCACAACTGCTTTATACCTGACAAGTGTAGCAACCACCCAGAACACCTTAGAGAATGCGCTCCCCCCCCCCAAATTCGGCCACAACAGGATGAGCCGCAGTCAGAGTTCATCGTGGTTTTTTGTAAGATCTTCCCCATAATTGGTAGCCTGGCTTCCCACAAACATGTTCCAGTTGTCTAGAATCTCCTCCTTGGTTAGCATTTCATCCTGTGGAAGACAGAAGAGCTGTCAGGGGGTGCTTCAGGGAGTACTATGTGATCTACAGGGTGACAAACAGCACATCTAACAGCCTCCCCCCCCATCTCCAGTGACTGCCATGCTAAATTCCACGCTGTCTGTGAAAGCTGTGCTACAGCGTCGGGAAGGACCAGAGAATTCAGAAGACAGCCTCCATAAGCAACACAGGCATGCCCAGAAGTGGCTAGAGCGATGGACCCCACTTCCCTTTCACGCCCCTACTATGTAACACGTGGGTCTGCAAAGCTCAGTTGATAGGGCCAGTAACAAAGTCAGATGAGGCAAAAATGTTGCCTTAATCTTACTTACTCACTTGGATTCTAACAAACTATTCTTACTATAGTACTAGGGATGGAAACCAGAGTCTGACTCATGATAGCCAAGCGCTCAGCTCCTGAGCTATAAACACTCTCAGCCCCTAACTTAGATACCTATCAGAGGATACTGAGAAAACACTGGTAATCATTAGAGCTCCTGCCCATACCCCCCTCCCCACACTCCACACACACACACCCTATGCCAGACATATCACTGAAGTTTGATAGATATCTGATGACTACATGAAGGGAGAATTAAGCTCACTTTAGATCATACTGAGTTAATTTCTTAAATCCATGCCTGGACTGCACCAAAGATGTTAATGTTTTAACATCCCACCCTAGAAGCTGTGATTTAGTAATTTTAGTCTACAGCCCAGGAAAGATGAAGCCTAAATTGTTCACTGTAGCTGTCATTGTACAGGCTGAAGTAATGCTCAGGTTTCTTACTGGAGGATGCAGGTACACAGCCAAATGGAGCCAGTGTTATCACTAACAAGGCAAACAAACCCAATCTGCTTCCTGTCAATCAATGGCTCTGAAAGAGGAAGCTACCTTGTTTTTGTCTGACTCGTAAACCAGGTGCCGGGCCTCAGCCTGTGCATGGTCATAATCCTGAGGGAGGATCCAGTGGCGGATCTCATCCTTGTCCAGCTTCCCATCCTTGTTCAGATCTCGGAAATCATTGAACTGCTCCCGTTCCGACAAAACCCAGTCTGGCTCAGGGCCGTTGTCCTCGTGGGAAAACATGTCCGCTAGAAGGCAAAGCTGTTCTCAGTTACAGAAGACAAAAAAAACATGACCCCTGAGGTTTTGGAAGGGTGATGACTCTCTGGGAGTGCTAAATCACAGTTGGGTGGAGAGCTGAGGAATGGCCACTGATCTATGCAGGATAGACACCATGAGGTGCAACAGGAAGACTTGGTTAGAAGCCAGAAGGTGAGTCCTGGGATTCACAGCTTGTAAAATGGAGATAATAATGGCTAAAAACATGTTTATGAAGATCAATGGGCTACTTCTGGGAGAACCTCTATTCCACAGCCTCTATTCCAACTGGCACTATAAAGGTGAAAACAAACAACACTGGGTACTTTCCCCAGCCCAGATACATTAGGAAGTGACCTACATACATTTTCCTTTCAATCCCTTTACATCATCTGGAGCTGCTCTCCCATTTTACAAAAGAAAATGATGTAAAGATGAAACCCACTGCTTGCCTGAACTGGAGGTTGCACAGGACCATGGGAGGCTTGCTGCCAACCCCTCACATCCCCCTATGACTACTATTATGGCTTGCCTCATTTTCAAAGGGCTTTCTTTAATTTTATTCACACACACCCCCAGCAGTTACTATAAGCTAGATCATTATCTTGATTTTTATAAAATGCCAGGAAAAAAGAGGAAGGGAACATTCATACACTGGTTTTTGTTTGTTTTGAGACAAGGTTTCACTATATAGCCAGGCTGCCTGGAACTCACTGAGACTGGCCTGCCTCTGCCTGCCAAGTGCTGGAATTAAAGGTGTGTTCTACTGTCCAGCTCTCTTACACTGTCTTGTAATTGTCTGCTTACACTCCATGGGCGGTTTCCCTCTGATGGGAACACAATTTTGAAACCTTAAGTGGAAAAAAGTTTCAATAAAGAAAAAAAAAAAAAAAAAAAAAAAAAAAAAGCTTTTGGTTATAAGTTTCAATTTGTAGAAACTTTCAAAGTAGAAAGTTTCGAAAGTAGAAAAAAAAGGCTCTTTGTATAAAGCTTCAATATAAAGGGAAAGTTGGTCATCAGCATCAGCAGGCACTTGGAGGAAGCAAGAAAACAAGAAAAGCCACAAGGTAGCCCCATGCTTTTAGTCCCAGTATTCATGCCTTTGACCTCAGTATTCAGGAGGCAGAGGCAGGCAGATCTCTTAGTTCCAGGCCAGTCTGTTCTGCAGACTGTGTAACAACCAGGCTGTATACAGAGAAATTCTATCTTGAAAAAACTATAAAATTACTCCCTTTCCAGCAGTTCTCCAGCACGGCTGGGTATGTGGACACCAGGAGAGCAAAACGGCGTCGCTTGAGCTACTAAAGAAGCGGCTCATGGAGGTTAAACTTGGAGAGCTGCCAAGCTGGATAGTGACGCAGAATTTCACCCCCAGGGGCATTGTGGGAGACTTTCAAAGGGGTTACGACCTGTATTACAAGTACATCAACGGGTGGAAAGGCAGCATCTTGGGAATTAACATAGTGCTGGCAGCCTACATGGTTTTCAGCCTCTGTATTTCTTACAAAAACTCAAACACGAGCAGCAACACAAATACCACTCAAGATGGGCCACTATGGAGGGCACTGTACACCTGAGCATAACCGCCTTGCCCATTCCCATCCATGAAGAATTCAGGTGTGGCTGAATCTTCAAATCCTGACTAAGAACTAGTGTCCAATAAAAGGTAACTGACTGGTTCAAAAACAAAGCAAAACAAAAATTTAAAAAAAAGAAAAAAGAAAAACATTCATGCCTGATACTTGTAGTGTTGTAGTGTGTGTGTGTGTGTGAACATGTTCCCATGTACCCTATGTGTGTGGTGGTCAAAGATTTATGTATTTCATGTACTTTAAGACAAGGTCTCTCTTAACACACCAGGAGTTGGCTGATTGGTGAGACTAGCTGGTCATCGAGTCCCAGGGTCCTGCTGTCTCTCCTTCTAAGTGCTGGGTGTGTGCCACAACTCCAAACTTTTTAATGTGGATACTGGAGATCTGAACTCCGGTCTTCATGATTTCACAACAAGCACTACGTTAACTGAGCAAACGCCCACCCTTGCACAATGACTTCGGGAAAGGACTGTCACATTAGCTGATTTGAACTTCATTCAATCCTGCTGGAATGGGTGCTGTCCGTCCCCATGTATCAGGAGAAAACTGAGGCAGATAGGAATTCCGGAAGTCTCTCAGGGTCACACAGTCAGTGGGTGGGAAAGCCAGGGCTCCTAACCCCAGAACCCTTTCCAGGACACCACATTGGCAACTCCTTGGTTTGCCTAGAGTGAGAACAGCCTAGGAATCAGCTCCATTGCCTGACAAGTTCATACATCAAGTCTTTCTCACTACTGGCTGGTGAATACCTTCCCCCTCTCCCCACAGTGCACACAATGAAATGTTTCTTTTAGTCAAAGTCACTCAGAATTTTGCCCCTGGCGGGCACCATCTCAAGGCAGAGTTCAGGAGAGCCATCAAGAGCTTACACTGTTAATCAAAAGCGCTGCATTGTTTGTTTTTATCAGGAAGCCTTTCTCTCTGTCTAATTCAATCACCGCTGTCATGGTAACAGGTCTGAGGCTCTAAACGCTCCCCTCCCTTATGTATCTCTCAAGAGGAAGGCTCCACAACTTGCACTGGTGAGGTTCCTATTAGCATCGTCAGTGTAGAAAGCTGCAGTCACCAAGATCACTTTAGTTACAGAGGCAAAGAGCTACCTGGCTGCTACCCATGACAGACAGGGAAGTGTTTAGTCCCTGGACCATATATGACTTTTCACAATCAGCAGAAGCTGTGTTCATTATCACCAAAGGCTCTTGTCCTTATACATGGGCATAAAATCATACAACCACAAACCAGAGGGTGAGGCAACTTGGACTCAGTATTACAATCTGAGCAGTATTACAAACTGCATGTGTTAAATACATTCACAAAAAAGTTTCCCATCCCTTCCCAGAAGTCAGTACCTAATCGAGTGTTTTTTCCAGCTTTTACTTGAGACAGGCAAGAGAGCTCTTACAAGGTGACAGCCCGAGGTTGGAGCCACATGCCCCAGTGGTAAAGTCAGTAGGGATCATATGGGAATTTCCATGTTGGCTGCAGATTTTTGTGCTAGGGGACTACTAGCTATGGTGGATCTGAGTTTCATTCAGGCAATTCTCCCTGATGTTTCTCAATAAGAAAATGCCAAATATGGTACTCCCAGCCAGAAGATGGAACCCCAGAGTGGCTCTAATAAGGGACAACTGTGCACATCACAGAGAGGTTTCCTCCTTGACAAGGACCTGCCTGTAACTGGCAGATGACCACCCAGTCTGAGCTCCTAAGCTAGCTGACCTACATCTAATTTTAGTCTTCACCTCCCTTCTATTTTAGTCTCCATGTACATTTGTGGCTCTCCAATCCCACAGTGTGACAAAGAGCACCCTTGAGCCCTGTGGTACTGTCTCCTGCCCATCCTTTAGCTTTTTCTCTCCTGGAGGACCTTTAATCACTTGCTTTGCACCAAATAGGGCTGAAGGGGCCTCTCTACGGGAGCTCCCAGCAGTGAGGCCACCAGGTTATGGGTGGGAGTGGGCAGAGAAGAGCTGCCCAGTGTGGACAGCTGAGCCATTGCAGCCTGCACTCACCAATGTACTCATCCTGGTCCACAAAGCCATCCCCGTTCTTGTCGATGTCCTCCAGCGTTTCCTAGGGAGCAATGGGGAAACAGACAAGATGGCCACGTGCCAGAAGCAAGTCCAAGGCTCCTACTGCCCTCATTGTCTGGCTTTTATGGCTGAACACTTGGTGACTCATGCCTCATTCTCTTAGCTCCCTGGTCAGCCCATTACATTAAAAAACAGGTGGTGGTTAGTATCCCCACATCATGCCTCCAGAATTTCAAGAGCAGAGCCCTTTCGTCAAAGGAAATGGTTCACAGACACTCTCAAGAAACCCTGCCACACCAACCAATAGCAGTCACCAAACATCGCCCCTACAAGTTCATGAGAATCCAGTGCAAGAGACACCTATCAGAGGGACCGTAAAAACAGATCCCACAGCTAAGAGCTAGGAATACTTAGCTGGTGTCAAGGACACATACAATTGTAGAGAATTAAACTTAAACATTAGCGGTATAACTGACTTATGAAAGTATTCTACTCTAATTAGTTACATTTGACTTCTAGTTGTTTTTCCCCTCCAGCATCAGTAACTTAGTGAATTTACTATTCACTGGCTGAGCAACTCAAGGGCATCCCCAAAACAGCCTGAGTCTAGCACACCAATCTTGCTTGAAGGCAAGCAATTCCTCAGTGGCAAATTCCATCTCCATTGTCCTCCAGAAAACTGGTTATCACTAAATGGATGTTGGGTGATAAAGAGAAATGATTCTTGGACCACTGCCCAATCCTTGGAGGCAAGGGAGGACTCTGCCATTGGCTGGATATCTCAGAAACTCAGAGCTCTTTAAGAACAAAATCTTTCCCCAACAGCTTCCTAGCAGTTGGAACTGACTCTGTCCAGGAAATAGGTAATGGCATTTATTCAAGTGTCATGAAAAATGAAGACACAGGGGACCCAATGGAAAGCAATGACATGCAGAGGCTTGACAAGCATCAACCCTTTTACAAGCCTGGCATCCCAGCCATATGCTCACTAGAGACCACTGCTGGAAGTAGCAGCCTTTCTAGCCACAAATTCACTTTTCTATTTCTTTCAAGTGGAAAACAAACAAAAAAGGAAAAATAGAAAAGAATTCCAGCAACAAAAAAAATGAGTGGTGGAGTCCAGATAGCTGCTCACTAACCCATCAGCTTTCTGAGTGCCTGTCTAAATGTGGTATCTCTCGGCCTGTGCAGATCTAAGGGGACAAGAACATAAACAGGTACATACATACATTTTTTTTTTTTCTGGCTTGAGTATTGAAAACAGGCTATCACATTTTTTCATTCTGTGTCTGTCCTTTGTCTGGCCCCTGGTCAGGATGACCCTGATGCTCTAAGATGGCAGAACTGAAGACAGAAGCAGCCTGAGCACCATCTAGTGTTGAGAGGGATCTGCCTGGAGTAGTCTTAATGACTCTGTGCAAGTAAGGAACAGGCTTGCTTTGTGCTGAATGGTTTCAGCCGGAGTATTTGTTACAGCAGCTAGCTCATCCTGACTACCTCCTGGGTAGATAGATTCGACATATTCAACCTCAGTCCTTCCCCAATTCCCAGCAGGCAGAAAGAGTCTCTTTTGAAAAAAGGGACAAGGTGAGGGGACAGTCTTTTCCCAGTCTGCATTTTCCCTGTTCTCACCAAAACTACAATTTCCTTCATATGTTCAAACTCCTCTGGGTGCAGAAAGGATGTGAACTCCTCCCGAGTAGCCATCAGGTCACCATCAAGGTCTGAAGCCTTAAACCTTCTCTCATCTCGTGGCAGCATCTTTTTAAAGGTGTGATGATCAGAACTATCTTGGAACTCGGCGGGGTTTCCTGCAGGGTGTACATGGCAACAGTGAACCTTTGTAAGGAGGACCTTTTGTTCCAGATCATTCATTGTCCACACACACAAAAGATCTTGACCACCCTCTGGGTTCTCTAAAATGCCCTCTGCATCTCCCTTCCTTCCAAGTCATCCCATAACCTCAGCCTTAGTGTCCATCAGGGGCTTTACAGCAAACACTGAGGAGCACAGGCTTTGGATTACACAATTTCTTAACTCTATTTACAGATTTCTGCGTTCATCACATCATTTTTTGGTCTAGAGCCTACGAGGATCCCTGTGTGTTCTAGAATATCTTGTTTAAATGCCTCTGCTGGCTTTCAAGCTTTCTGAATCTGGCTTTGATGGTCTTCCTTTTTCCCCAAGCCTATCTTCCAGCTGTCTACCAGGCATCTAGAGGGTCTGCACCATACTCCTCCTCTAATCTACTAACCCAAGCCCCACCCACCACACATGCATTTCCATGCCTCTGCCCCTCTAACTCTGTCATGTTTCCCACAATTTCTCCATCTCTCCAAAATTGATGTCTCTTCTTCAAAACCCAGTTTCCAAAGCCCCCTTCCCTTGAATGAAGTTCTTCCTCATGATGGTTCCAGCATACTTTATCCTTACTGCCCAACTGCAGCAGCAATTTGAAACTGACGAAAGCAAATTTTCTTTCTCCTTTTTTCTCTGTGTGCATCTCTGAAAGCTAAATTTAAGCTGAGCCATGACCTAAGACACCTTCCCCTATGTCAGTCAAAGGAAGCAACTTGGTACATTCTTAGTAGGCGGAGGAGGATGTTACACAACAGGTTTTACTTTGAAGGTTGTGACATCTGGCTGAAAGGGGGTAGCCATGATGACAGAGTCTCCTGAGCTTGCTCCCTACTGTGTAATCTCCACTGTGACACCTCTTACCCAGGTAGTAGCCATAGGTAGCTTGCTTGTATTCTTCCCAGGAGATCCTTTCGTCTTTGTCCCTATCATAATCCTTCCAGACTTTGGCGACATTATCATAGATGTATCTTTTCTGTACCCGTTTGATCCAAACTTTCAGCTCCTCGGTGGTGACAAGACCATCTCCATCACTGTCAATTCGATCAACAATTTTCCTGTAGTTCAAAAAAAAAAAAAAAAAAAAAAAGTAGTAATAATAACATAAAATAAAATAAAAATCCCTCAAGACCATAATCAAGAACTTGTATGGTCTTGGTCCAGCAAAATGTCAAGCAGTTTCCAGTTTTAAATGTTACAAAATACTAAGACAGATTCAATCAATCAGTGATTTAACAGTCCTTTGATAGAGCAAAGGGTCTTAAAGGTTCATCCTTTCCAAGGATGACATGCCTTTTCCTCCCTGGAACCAGGGCCAGTGGCAGACATCCTGAAAGCCAGATGGGAACTGAGAATTCTCAGCCCAGGACTTTGGAGACTGCCACTAGGAACTGATGAGAGCTGACCTGGAAGGCGAAAGGTATTGTATTCCCCGGTGTAGTCTAATTCCCTCACTTAAATGCAGGCCGAGGCCCAGGAAAGTGGAATGATGCTTCCAAGAGCAAACAGCTGGTATTGGGTATAACTGAGTTGAGTACATATTCTTTTTAGCTTGGGGTTTGCAACAACAGGAAATTCTATGTTAATCAGAGAATGAGAGAGTTGTTTGTTTTGCATCCTACAACCTTGGACTCAAGGATTGATATGTAAGCCTGAGACAACCAAGGTTGTCAGAAGGTCCCTCTGGCAGCTGAAAGACCTCAGCAAACCTGCTATTGGGTGCAGACCATGGTGCCCACTTGGGTTCTCACCTTTACCACAGCCTGGGTCCCAGGAATTTCCAACTAGACTCTACTGAGGCATCCAAAGCACTAGTTCTGGGCAAAATTCAGTCTAGAAACTCACCATCTGTTCATCTCTGAGTAAAACAGTCCCTAGTAGGACAGCCAGCTCAATTGGAAACTCTCAAACACCCACAAGCTAGTGCCCATGCTTAACAGAAGTTTCACACACCTGGATGAGGTCATACAGGCCAGCAATGACTCAGATTCTTTCTTTGGGGCTAGAATTCTATTTAACCCCAGTGATAAATTTTCAGCAGCAGTTCTGATTAACAGTTAATACTGATTAAAAATGGGAACAGGATTCCTTAGTTCTTTATAAATATAGTTCAGAATGTAACTCATAACTTTTGGTGGGAAAGATAAATTGTGTGTGTGGGTTGGGGGGAGGCACACATAAACAAAGCCAACATATACCCGAATCCAAGGAACCCCAGCTCACTTCCCTGGAACTGGAACCTGTGGACATTATTAACAACTTTAAAGTGCCCCTTCAAGCTCAATTTTAATAGATCTGAAAGACTAGATCTCATGCATCTATCTTCAGGCTTCCCTGGGGAAGACTCAGCCAGACACTGCAGAATTCATTCTATACTGTGCAGGCAGGCACTGCCCCAATCCCGAGGACACACTGGCAACATTGCCCATTGGTTACCCAACACCACTGAGAAGCAGAACCCTAGGCCAGCAAGAGCTTAATGTCATGAAACCATGTAACCCTCCTTTGAAGAAAGAATAGCATTTAATTTACAGCAATCAACATCCTGGGCACAGCTCAGTCTAATATATAGTACAACTCTAAAACTGGAGTTATATATGGGTGATCTTGACCTCTTTTGAAAGGTCAGAAGAGGAAGAGCCTGAGGAAGGAAATGGAATGTAGATAGACTCTGCACGCTTTAGTCAGAACACATAGATCTTCGTCCTGGCTCTGGTCCCTGTTTTCTGTGGGCCTGTAAGCCAGTCTGAACCTCACTTTCCCTATTGTAAGCGGAAACACCCAAGTGACAAGAAATGTTAGGAACAAAGGAGGAGGGGACCTTTCCTCACTCAGGACAACAATGTTGGTCAAGCATGGAAGAAGAATTCAAATTCTCAGCAAAAATGTTAAACGAGTAAAGCCTCTGGGAAGGGCTTAGGGCAAATGGAGTTCCCCTGCCAGCCAAGGGAAACCAGAAACTGGGTGGACAGTTGAAAGCACTCCCAACTTTGAAAAGTAATTTATATTTTTCTAAGATTGTATGAAGTCATTGAGACTGTATGCAGCCCGTGGCTTCACATCACGACCCTTCAGAGATCTTAATGATGCTTCCAGAGAACTTAATGACAGCATGTGTGTTCAACAGATGGCCAAGTGATAGATACAAAGTTGCCTGGATCTAGCCAAGTTCCTCCCTCAGCAGCCCAGACTTGGGGGTGGGGGGACTGTTAAGACAAGGAGGTAAACTAGCCTTAGTCCCAGGCTAGACCATTCTAAAAGACCTAGTCTAATTCTGGCCCATATTACTTTAGAAAGGAAGGGGTTCAGGCCAGGGCCCCAGATGTTATTCTTGGTTCCTTCCTTAACATGGGGTCAAGGGCAAGTTCTGCCACATCTGTCTGCATCTTTCCTGTCCTAACACCCAGACAGACTGACCCTCACCTGGCCTCTGCTAGGACTCCCTATTTGCCATGGTTACACTCTCCACTCTACTGCCAGGCTGGCTTTCCCAACGTTTGTGAATTAGGACATCCTGTCCAACACACATATAGCATCTCTGCCTCCTCCAGGTCCTTCCCTCTGCCCTTTATTTTCCCTCCTCTTCTACCTCCCATTTCCTCTTCTCTGCCTTTGAGGGGTTCAGCACCCATCCAGTCTCACAAGAGTTCAAAACCCTGATAAACAAGTTAGCCCCTGGATTCAGGAACACCTTTCTGTGACTATATAACAGTCAACCTTTGAATCATCTCACCTGCAAGACCCAAGCGCCCCTCTCCAGCCTGAAGCCTCAGGGCCCCCCAATAAACACAGGGATGATGATGGTTTACTGTGTAACCAACACAGCCATCCTGAAATCATCGGCCTGCCCTCACATGGGATGGCCAGCACCCTGAGACCTAGAACACGAGGGTTCATTTTGGACCTGCCACATGTCACAGTAGCCACTGCAATGCTTGCCACATGAATAATAGAACAAAATCAAGGTCTCCAGAGCATTCCATTAACACTCATATCTGCCTCTTAAGCTAACCACCCTGATGAAGAAATTAAATGAAGCCAGAGGCCCTAGGTTTAGTGTTTCGAGTTCCCAACACTTCCTTTCCCCTCCTCCTTTCTGAGACAATGCAGAATGGCTGCAATTAGGGCCCCAGAATAAATCAGTCTCCAGGACCTCAATGCATACAACAGAGTGAATATCAATGGCCCCTATTGTTAGGTCCCTAACAAGAAGGGAAAGATAGTGTTTGAAGGTGACTTTGAAGTCCAAAGGTCTTTTTATCACAACAGGCAGATGTTGCACCTACATAGTAGGAATCATTTATCCTGTTCCATTGAACACTCTGACCTATCTGTAGCACAGAGAAGGCTGTGTTCTTTTCAATAGTAGCAGAACAGGAAGATCCTCCACCCCCAGGAGAGCCAGGTTCTGGAAGCTCTAGTGGCCCACAGGCAGGATTGCTGTATTCTTCCCCACCTCCACCTGGACTTCACTCCTAGCCCCTCTAAAAGGTTTTCAGATAACTGCATGATGTCCAAGTGTATCCTGGGGACCAGGGGAGGGAGTATTGAGATGTTGCCCAGGTTTATTTCCTGATTCCAAGTTAAACTCACAATGCACCACCATAGCCACTCTACAGCTTTTTTTTTTTTTTTGCCCCTAACAACCAGTTGCCAAAAAACTGAGCGCCTCACCCATAATGCTGGAAGCAGAGCCCCAGGAATCAGTTTCCATCATCTCTGTGCATCCTCCCTCATGTACTAGCTCAAATTACACCCTTAAAAATCCGACTTCTATGTTTCTACATGAGATTTCTGGGATGACTGGTCAGACAAGAACATCTTGCCCTGACCCAGAGACAGGCCAAGGAAAAGCCTCTCCCTCTTCATTCATCTCTTACCCATCTCTGGTCTAGAGACTCTTTAACAAGTCTCAAGCGCCTCTCTCTGGGGCTAAGACTGTGGGAAAGAACTCAGGGACTAAAAGGCCACAGCCAACAAACTCTGGCTCACTCTCTCCTGTCTCTTCTGATGCAACCTAGAGGTGGGGGCGGTCCCTCCTCTCCCTCCCGCTCCCGGCTCCCGCTGCCACGTTCTTGACTCCCCGTGGGAAGCTATCCGGGCCGGGGCGTGGCGGCGACCTCCACGCGGGGTCTGGGTGCCCGTTTGCAACTTTGTGCCGCTGAGCCTGGCTCCGGCCTCGGCGCTGTGACCAACTGGCACGATTTCGCTTTCGCTTTGCTCCGGAGGTCCCGCGTGGCTCCCTCTGAGGTTGCCGTGGGCCCCTGTGTGGTCCCCCGCGCGGCCCGGGCCGCGGTCTCACCCCAGCCTCTCCTTGCTTTCGTCCGGGCTTAGCTGATCGAACGTCTTGGAGTCCTCCTTGCCCAGGAAGGCCTCGTGATCATACTGGAAGCTCTGGTTGTCCTCCGGCGGTCGCTCGCCCAGCTCCGAGTCGGGCCGCACAACGCGCTCCTTGCGCACAGTGGGTTTGGCCCGCAGCGTCAGCGCCAGCGCCAGCAGCAGCCCCAGGGCAAGTCCCAGGCGGCCACCGCGCGCCATGGTCGCAAGCAGAGGAAGGTGGCGGGGCAGTAGGGATTCTCAGCGCCCTGGCCGCTGTCCCCTCCCCAGCGAGGGGCGCGCCCAGCTGGAGCGGGGGAGGCTCGGGCCGCCCCACTCACGCGCCCATTGGCCGCGGCGCTGCCGGGGGAGGCCGGGGCTGCTGAGCCACGTCGCCAGCCCGAGTGGTGGGCGCCGGGCTCGGATTTCGCCTCCGCCCCTCCCCGCGATCTCATTGCGAGGGCGGGCCCAGAGGATGGGGGCTGCTGACTGGAGGCCTCTCTGCAAGACCGGAAAGTAGTTCTTTGGTGAAAAAAAAAAAAAAAAAAAAAAAAAAAAAAGCAACAGATGTTCGATCGAGGTGATACTTAGCTCTTCCTCCTGCTTAGAGAAGCAGTGCCCCTACTCAGCTTCCAGCTGAGAGCCCGAACCTCAGCCCCAGGTTTGGGCAGAGATGGGTACTTAAGTCCAATTCAACTCCAGTTAACACAGTTTGCATTGTGGTTACAGGCACAAAGAGTCTGGAAGGAGGCCAGGATGGGCGTGGTCCCCTAGTTTAGGGAGGAAGGCTGCAGGACAGTGGGAGGGGACCCTTGAGAAACAAATCCTTTCTAGCTCCTATAGGGAGAGAGACAGAAAGGCTTCCCAAAAGAAACAGATGTCAGAGTATGATGCTTTCATTTCTGAATGTTGTCAAGTCGTTTTACAAACCCTATCAGCATATTACATTCGAAATAATGATACCAATCAGAGATAGTCTGTATTATATAACTTGCTGAAGGACAGAAATGTTCTATGTAGTTGTCCTATATGTAGTGGCCATTGAATACTTGACACAGGACCAGTCCAAACTCAATAGTTGAGTTTAAATGTAATTAGCCATGCATGGCTAGTGGCTGTCATACTGATGGTGCAGGTTTGAATTTATCATTATTTTCACACACACACACACACACACACACACACACACACACACAAATGAATGTAGGTCTGTTGGCATTAGGATTCCATTAAAGTGTTGGCATTAGGATTCCATTGGATCTTCTAAAGCAGGGGTTCTTAATCTGTGATCTTTGGGGTCACACATCATATGCTTACACTGGGATTCATAAGTAGCAAAAATACAGCTATGAAATAGCACTAAAATATTTTGTGGTTGGAGGTTGCAGCTTTAGAAAGTTTGAGAACTGTTGCTCTAAACAGTTGTAGGAAACTGTGGTTGGACAAGTCTCCCCCACCTCCAGCCCTAAAAGGTGTAGTGCCATCCACTTTCTGTTCGCCTCTCCCACCTTCATACCATTCTCAACATTATTGACCTGTGCTTCTTGCCCTTGCAATAAGGAAGTCAGGGCATCAAAGCATAGATGCAGGAACCTTTCTGTAAAGACAGTTTTCACTTAACAAATGAAGACAAATGAAGAACAAGACAGTTCTTGGTTCTACAGAGTATATGTAACATACTGGATCAAGAAGGGAAGGCTTCCTGGAGTGAATGACTTATAGAAATGGAGAATAAAGATAAGTAGGGTAAGCCTGGCAAGGGGATGTGGCAATGTGAAAGGTCCTGTGTTAGCTGGCAGAGGACAGTGGGGTTGGAAGTAATGCTCTGTGATCTTGTACAACACCCTCCATTTGTCAGCAAGACCTGGTGCATGGAGGGGGCTGGGTGTCCAGTATTTGATGGATCCAGTGTTCCTCTGTTGATTTTCCACTGGGATGGGATAAGAAGTGCTGTATTTGAAACTAGGGATGTCTGGATTGTTGGTACAGAGGTGTGAACTTGCAGCAAAGGAAACACATTACTTTGGGTATGAAGTGCTCCCTTGACTGTTAGCTTGGCTGGAATCAAGTAAAAGACATACCTCTGGGCATGCCTGTGAAGTCTTTCCAAGAAGTATTAACAGGAAAGATTCCCTGGTCAGCTCTCAGATGCAGAGCTGAGGGAAAAGCCGTGCTGCTTGCTGCCTTCACTTCATGCTGGTGAGTGTTGTCACTGCTTTCAGACTTCAGCTTCCTCAGGCTTCCAAGGTGAACTGACAACCAGTGACTCTCAGGCCTCTTCTGACCCTTCAGCACTAGATTAGGGCTGGGCAGCTATCAGACCTTCAGCCTCTCCAGCATACAGATGGCCACTGATGAACTAGCCAGTTCTGATCCTATTAGCCAATCTAATCAATCCTCTTTTACAATACTTAGTTGTTTTGGAATATTTGTTTCCACTGTGAAGATGTGTCTTTACCAAAGCACCTTCTGATTGGTTGAATAAAGAGCTCAGTGGCCAATAGCTAGGCAGGAAGAGGTTGAGCAGGACTTCAGAGACAGATCATTCTCTGGGAAGAGAAAGGCTGAGAAGCCAGGAGACACAGAGAGGAACCAGGAGGCACAAGATGGAAAAGAGGTAGCGCCACGAGATAAAGTGTAGATTAATATAAACAGGTTAATTTAAATTCAAGAGCTAGCTAGGAACACGCCTAAGCTATAGGCAGATCTTCCATAATTAATAAGTCTTTGTGTCATTATTATGGAGCTGGCTGGCAGGACAGAAAAGACTCCTTCACTTGTTTCTTTTCCCTGAGAGAACGAGCTTCTCAAACACAAATAAATGTCTTGAGGTAGGTAGCTTCGTGTCCTCTGTGTTCACAAGGCAAACGGGGTATGAACTGAGTGGAGAAGGAAGAAAGGAAGAAAGGAAGGAAGGAAGGAAGGAAGGAAAGAAGGAAGGAAGGAAAGAAAGAAGGAAGGAAGGAAAGAAAGAAGGAAGGAAGGAAGGAAGGAAAGAAGGAAGGAAGGAAAGAAGGAAGAGTTTGGAAAGGGGATGGGAGGGTGAGTGAGGGCTGGTGACAGGCTGCTAATTCATGACCTCTACTGTGGTCTGGCTGGGGTCACTGGGTTTGAACCAGATTGTCAGGAATGAAGGTGGCATATCTTCACATTTGTTGCAATTAGGCTTCCTGCCACACACTAGGGGCTTCCCACAGATTGTATTAGGGGTAGCCTTCTTCCCTGTGGGAATTACCCGCTGTGCTGTGAATCCGGAAGCATTTGTATAATTTCCCCTAGAGCTTGCCTGCATTCTCTTCCTGCTGTTGTTTTTAAGTCTTCCCTGGAGAATGAAGGAGACCCCTCAACCAAATGATCAGGAACAGTGATGACACAAGCTAGCCAAGGTTCTCTGCTAAGTGATTGGTTTTTGTTGTTGTTTTTTTTTCATTTTTAAAGCTCACTTTTTATCTCTCTCCTGAGCTTATATGGGGAGACTGATGAAGCACATATTCACCTCCTAAGTTAACCTCCATCCTTAATGAGGCAAAGGATCCAGAAACAGGAGGAGCCATGTAGCTGAGGGCTGAACCAAAGCAAAGGAAAGGCAGTTCCAAACAGGTGAGTTGACAGGTTAGGTCTGCTGGTCTGCTGCAAGTAGTACCATCCAGACTCAGACTAAAAAGTTAATAAAACAAAGAAAACACTATTATGTCATGTATCAAAAAGCCTTAAAAACAAAAAATAAGAAAAATAAAACCTTTGTGTGGGTGTGTATGTGCACTTTTGTTCCCCATACTGTCTGAGGTTAGATGCAGCATAGTCTGTCCCGTGAGCTCCCAGGAATTCTCCGGTCAGTAGCATCCAGTTCTAAACTCAGGTCCTCATACTTGTTGGGCAAGCATTTTAGCCACTGAGCCATGTCCTCAGAGCTCAAAAAAGTCTTGAGTTAACTCCGACTTCAAACTGGCTCATGCAAATGGCTCATGGCATCACCAAGGAACCAGGTTTGAAAGCTTTTTGTTTTTCTTCCAGGAGCAAAGAAACAGTTTTCTGCCTAACTTTCCCACGAGACCCCCCTTTCACATCTCATTGGCCAGAATGGTATGGAAATCTCATGATTGATTAAACCAATCGAAAATGACTTCACAGAGCTGGAAAAAAAACACAGAATCCTCAGAAGCCCATCCTTGGGGTTCAGTTCTGTCTGGAAAGAAAAAGGCAGATCGTTAGAAGTATCACATGGATTTGTAGTTAACTGCTGTGTTTATAGGTTATTTCCTCATCTCCACCTCCTGTCTCTCCACCATTCACAGTCAGAGAAAATTGTCAAGGATCAACTCAGATGTCATTTATTCCATGATATTTGCCCTTAGATTTCAACTCAGAACCAATAACTTCTAACTCAAAATGCCCAGGGCCTTTACATCTCACACGTAACTTTTTCACAGTCTGATTTGTACTAATGAATTCATTTCCATTTTTCCTAAATCAAATTCCCTAAGAGGAATGATCCTATATGGTTCCTGTCCATATGCATAAATCCAGGGACTATATCATTTACTGCCTCCTCATTGAAGTTAATCACAATACAAAAGCTTGCCATGAGGATGGGAACCATATTCTTTTGGTTCACTACTGCATAGCCACTATCTAGCACAATACCTGGCCCATAGTAGGTTTCCAGTTATATCTGAGTGCATAATAAAATACTAACGCCTATCAACTTTTGTTTCTGGTTAAGATAGAGTAAGGTGGAAACTGTATTTGCTCTCACTCTCCTTTTTGAAACCCTGTTGCATAACAGGGTGAGCATCAGGCAATAAAGGAATAGTCAAGGTAAGTCTTATTCTTATCTCAGCTTATTGCTTTGAGCAGAATTTCCAGATGTAGTACAAAGAATAAGAACAAAGGTGAATCCAGAGATACTAAGTATTGCTTAGGCAAGCATATTAGCATGGAGAAAGCTACAAAAGAGAACCCCTAAGACTTGAAGGGAGTCTCCGTTGAGTGTTCAAAGCATTGACAAATGCATGTACTCAAAGCTGAAGAAGGAACCATCTGCAAATTTGGAAGAAACAATGCGTACCAGGCCCAGAAACCATCCCCACTAGTCAGACTGGAAAAACACATGATTAATCAGCCACTGAGTGGAATGTTCACTGAGATCTTGCCTCAGAAGTGAGCAATAATCAGCCCTAGACTCACCATTTCTCCCCAAATGATTAACAAAATATAAAATCAAAATGTGAAAGATACACTGTTCCAAGTAGCTTGATTTCCTCCAAGAGAAAATGTTTAAGAAAACTTAAAGGTATAGAATACAGAAAATACAAGGGGTGGGGTGGTTCTCAACCTTCCCAATGTTGTGATCCTGTTGTGGTGACCCCCTGCTATAAAATTATTTTTGTTGCTACTTCATAACTGTAATTTTGCTACTG